TTATAAGGAACACAGCAGGAGAGAAGCGTCCTTCCTTCCCTCCCTTCCTTTATTTTATACTTTCAGTGACAGACTCTATGGGGCACCTGCAAGGTACCAGATGCTGGGCTGAATGCTGGGCATTTAGAAATGAACCGAACTGACATACTCAGGAAACAGACATTGAATGCGTCATTAGGGAAGTGATGAGTTTTTGGACCGGGAGGAGGAAGATTTATCTGTACCCGGGCTGGAGTGCTGCGGTCACACAGCACTGCCCTGGGGTAGTGACGTTACAGTGGCCCTGAGACGGTGACCCCACGGCCCACGGGATTCTCCCAGTATGGCCCTGGTATAGGTTTTGGGAGACTCCCTACAAGCCTTCTGCCTTTGGACTTGCCTCCTTCATACATGCTCTTCAACGCGGGGATGAGATGAGACCAAAAAGAGGCAATAAAAATAAATAAACATCCAGCTTCTGCTGGAATATGAAGCCCTTTTCCCAGGAAACCTAGCTGCAGGAAGATAGGGACACAGTAGAGAGGCCAGCTGACCAGGGTTCAAGCGACAGGTGATGGTCATGAGACCCAGGGCAGCCCCTTTCCTGGTCTGGGCCTCTACTTCTCCACCTGTGCAGGTGCCCCAGTCACCTCATTGGCTGGTGAATGGGCTCTGGCACTTTCGCTGCCTGCTGCTTCCATGTGCTTATAGCTTTGAGGCAGGTTTATGCTAATTCGATGTGGATGGTGTGCAGGATCGCCTGTGGCCTTCCGTCTCGCCCCCTGCGGATGCATCCCCTGAGATCAACCTCTCGTACCACACAGATGGTGCCGACTTCAGACCACCTCTCACTGTTTCTTTCACTGTGTCTCTCTGTCTTCCTGGAGAACCATGGGGAAGGATGGCATGGAGGTGTGGTGGGGTTCACCTGTGTCTCCCCGAGGGCAAACACTGTTCCTTGTCCGGTATGGAGACACACAGGGGACGATCCTCCAAGCATGCAAAAATTGGCAATGACGTGAGGCGTCCAATTCAAATCAACACGTGTTTTTGAAGCATCTCCTACTTACAGGGAACCATTCTAGCAGTGAACAAAAGAGCTCTTAAATTGTAGCGGGGGGGATCATTTACTCCTAACCCCTCCTTTTTCAGAGAAGGGAAATGAGACCTGGCAGCATAAGAGGTGGTGTGACTTGTCCCCAGGCAAGGTCATCCAGCGAGCTGAGCCCAGATCTCTGGTCCCAGATACCCCGTTCTGGGCTGGTGATACATCAGTGCCTCCCTTCCAGCCCTCTGAAATGTGACTACTGTTGATTACGTTATTTTTGTACAGAAATAAATCCCATTCACCACTACACCCCACCCCCATCCCTCTTGAAGTTCAGTGATTTCCTTTCACCACTAACACTCCAGGTAAATATTTCCCTCTGAACTTCTGAAGCCACTTCTTCAAGGTCCTCATTTCCCTTAATGTGCTTCCTCTTGGTTCCACTGAAAAGAGAAAAGAGAGGGTTCTCTTTGCCCTTCCTCTCTGCTTCCTGGGGCTAAGCCACCTCTTGGTCCTTCACTCCGTGTCACAGAGTCTAGCCTTTCTCACTGCTACCCTCTTATCTCTCAACTGCAAACGGAGGTGGCCAGAGCCCGGGTCCTCAGCCCCCGGGAAGGTCCTGAACTGAGGGCACCCTACAGATGTGTAAACAGTTTACCTTGCTAACCCAGCCAGCCGCCTTCCAAAGGCAACAGGAAAACCAGGACTGGGAGCCCCTGGCAAAATAAAAACCTGCAGAGAGAGAAAGAGAGAGAGAAAGAGAGAGGGAAAAGGATCCTGTTTCAGATGTGAATTTTCTCATTAGAAGAATTTTCTGTTTGGAGGGGTTGGCCAGGGGAGGAAGAGAAGGTGAGCTGAGAGGTGGGATGGGGGGCCCAAGAGGGGGGTGCTCCAGGGGCCTGTGTGCTCCTGCTTCCCGTAGCCAGCAGCAGACCTGGGGGAGCTCATTCCAAACCTGGAGACAGAGCTTTGGCCTCGGTCAGCGGGGAGGTAGCTTTTAACATGCAGGCCTCATAATAGTAGCAAAGCCAAAGGGGATTTATGATTTCTGAGTAGAGTTTGCCAGTGGATTTGAGGAGGACTTGTGCTTTTCTGAGCCCTCATCCTACCAGCTCTTGATATATCAGTCAAGATGCCTTTAGGGTACTCTCTCTCTCTGGTGTTTCTGTATTTTGTTTTTAGTCATTTTCTACTTTTCATCCTTGACATCACTCCCAGACCCTCCAGCATCTTAAAAATGGACTCCCGGGCTTCCCTGGTGGCGCAGTGGTTGAGAGTCCGCCTGCCGATTCAGGGGACACGGGTTCGTGCCCCGGTCTGGGAAGATCCCACGTGCCGCGGAGCGGCTGGGCCCGTGAGCCACGGCCGCTGGGCCTGCGCGTCCGGAGCCTGTGCTCCGCAACGGGAGAGGCCACAGCAATGAAAGGCCCGTCTCCAAAAAAAAAAAAAAAAAAAAAAAAAAAAATGGACTCCCGTTTGGACAGCCACTGTATGCCAAGGGTAGTATAGCCACTATGTCTTTTAAGTATGACAGCATACGTAAAGAGAGGTACAGATGAGGGAGTTCAGATCCACAGAGGTGAAGCGATCTGCCCCTGATGTACGGCCGGTAATTGCTGTCATCAGAATTACCCGGAGTCCAAAGATCCTGCTCTTTCTACCTGACCAAGAACACACACTGTCTTATGATTCTCTCTGTCCTTTATCCAGGGAGACATAAATCAGTGCCTTTGATTCTGTTTGTCCTTTTTCTCTTCTCCCACTCCGTTTAGAATCATTCATGTGCTCATTCATGAGACACTTGCTGAGTGCCTGCTGTGTACAGGGCATAGTGCAAGGTTCTGGACAGGGTACAGATGACCCAGACAGAGCCATCACTCTCAAGAAGCATCCAGTCTAGGGAAGACTCCAAAACCAGAGAACAAGTGTCTAGTTTCCAAAAAGTAAAATGAATTCAGAGGAGAGAATGATTGCTCCTCAGAGGACCATCAGGGAAAGCTTCTTGGTAGAGATGGTTTCTGTTTTAGCCATTGGGAAGCTTGGGAACACAGAAAATCAGACTTGACCAAGCATGTGGGGGGAACCTCATTCAGTCCCCTGCTTTTCCAGGTAGAGAGCCAAGACCCAGAGGAGGTACTTGGTGCTTCATCAAGGTGTGAGAGCAGGTTGATGTTGTAGGAGACCCTCGCCATTACGTGAAGGATTGTAGGACAGGAGTGGTGGTAGGAGAGGTGTAGGCAGACTTAGATGCCTGGCCAAAACTACCATCTATGTCAGCTGCTAACAGAGAGAGTTACACAAATTCTAAGGCCCCAGTGACCACAGAGGAGTACAGGCTGTGTGGGCCTCCTCTACCGATTTTGCTGGAAGCCGTCTGTGCTCATTTCATGAGTGCTAATGGCAGGTGCACACTCAAAGTTATGGTGACCGCAACAATTCTCCAGCTGAAAGTAGGGACTGTGCTTCTAAATGAGCATCTTTTATTCATTCTCCTGTTCCTCTCTTTCTCCTCCCACCTGGCCTCATACATCATCCAACACTTAAAATACACTCTTAATTAGAAAGTCTTCTTTCCCATCCAACTGGCTGTCCATGCCAAGGACACTGGGTATATTCCAGAAAGACTGGGAATGGGGGTTGGTGAGTATAAAAATAATTAGACCCAGAGAGAATCTGCTAAGTGACTTCCTGAGGTTCCCAGAGTAAGTCTAGAGATGTCTGGCTTGGAACTTTCCCAAACACCCAACTAAACCTTGGGACACCCCCAGGCAGGTGGTTTGATCCAGGTAGATCCCTGGTGGCACTGATGAGGGAGAGGGAGGTACCATAGCGTTAGTCCCTAGGACAGTGGACCCAGGGTCCGATGGATCTGGGATCCACTTACCAACCAGTTGACCTCAAACCCATCCATCTCTTTACTTCCTTCAATTTCTGTTTCCTCCTCTGTTAATATCAGCACCTTGGGGGTGCTACACGGATTAAATGAATTAATGCATACACAGACCTTAGCACAATGCCTGACCTGCGATAGAGGCTTGGAAGATTTTACTTAATGAAGGCATCCCCAACATCTTTTTCTGTTAAGAGGATTCTTTTTATTTTTTGAAATATTAGCATTAGTGTTAGAGAAAAACAAGCTTGAGTTGGCTCTCAGGAAATTTGTCAATGACTCTATGTAACCTAACAAATGCCTTCCGTTCGCTGGGTCTCAACTTCCTTACCTTTCAAAGTGAAGGAGTTGGAAGTGTTTAAAAACCTTTCCAGCTCAGATAGTCCGCCTTTCTTTGGGGGTGAATGTCGGGGCTAGCCAGGACTCCTGTTACAGTTAGAAGCTTTACTAGTAGCTTTGCAGCCCTTGACCCTCACTTCTCCAGGGAACCTTCCCAAAAAGCCACCACCGCAGATCATTGATGAGTGCTGGTGGCTGATGTACGCCCAAAGTTACGGTGACAGTAGTCAGAGCTGTCCTTCTAAATGAGCATCTTCTGTTCATCATCGTCTCTTTGATTGTTCTCTCACCTCTTCCTCTCACCACCTGTGTCATTCTACACTTAAAATACGCTTTTAATTAAAAAAGTCCTCTTCCCCATCCAACAGTTTTGCAAAATCAAAGGTTTTCAGATTTTAGTTATTATCACTGTTGTTTTCTTTAGCTCAAGTACCTATTCTGCAAACAAATGTCTTTCTGGTATGCCCCATACTCAGAACCAAAAACAGTGAAACCACATGGGTTAAAGTTGTGGTGAGAACCTCCCAAAGGTAACTCACCTGTGTTCTCCCTTCCTCTAGCCCTTGCCTTGCCCTAGAGGTGGTCCCAGAGGTTTGGCTAGTCACTGCCAGGATCCCACTGAGCACGGTTTGAAAACTTCCTGGTCTAGGACATCCTGATACAAATTTTATCAGAGAGAAATAATTTACCCTCCTTCTTCCTCCATCCTTTATTTATTCATCTTTCTCTTTTGGGGCCACATAGGGCTATATGACAAATGTTCTTATGCCTCACGTGACCGAGGATGGGTCGTGGGCATTCACACCGTCAGTGACCAAGGCAACAGAGACCCACGCTACTTTTTCTCCTTGAAGACAGACCGGGCCCGGCAAGTGACCACCATCAATGCCCACCGCAGCTACCTCCCAGGCCAGTGGGCACACCTGGCTGCCACCTACGACGGACGGCTGATGAAGCTCTATGTGAACGGTGCCCAGGTGGCAACCTCTGGGGAGCAGGTGGGTGGCATTTTCAGCCCACTGACCCAGAAGTGTAAAGTCCTCATGCTGGGAGGCAGCGCCCTGAACCACAACTACCGGGGCTACGTGGAGCGCTTCAGCCTGTGGAAGGCGGCCAGGACGCAGCGCGAGGTCCTGCTGGACATGGAGACCCGCGGCCTCCACGCTCCTCTACCTCAGCTCCTCCTGCAGGAGAACTGGGACAACGTGAAGCGCGCCTGGTCCCCCATGAAGGACGGCAGTAGCCCCCGCGTGGAGGCCAGCGGCGCCCGTGGCTTCCTGCTGGACACGAGTCTGGAGCCTCCTCTGTGCGGGCAGACGCTGTGTGACAACCCCAAGGTCATCTCCAGCTACAACCAGCTGCCGCGTTTCCGCCGGCCCAAGGCGGTGCGCTACCGCGTGGTCAACCTCCACGACGATGGCCGCGAGAACCCCACGGTGAGCCGCCAGCAGATCGATTTCCAGCACCGGCAGCTGGCCGAGGCCTTCAAGCACTACAACATCTCCTGGGAGCTGGAGGTGCTGGAGGTGAGCAACTCTTCCCTGCGCCGCCGCCTCATCCTGGCCAACTGCGACATCAGCAAGATCGGGGACGAGAACTGCGACCCCGAGTGCAACCACACGCTGACTGGCCACGATGGCGGGGACTGCCGCCACCTGCGTCACCCCGCCTTCACCAAGAAGCAGCAGAACGGGGTGTGCGACATGGACTGCAATTACGAGCGGTTCAACTTCGACGGCGGGGAGTGCTGTGACCCCGAGATCACCGATGTCACCAAGACCTGCTTCGATCCCGACTCTCCGCACAGGTAAGAGCCGGACTCCTCCCTCTTTTGATCCCTGCGCGGCTCCTGACGCCCAGTGGGGTTGCGGGAATCTTCCAGTTCACCCAGAAGATCGACCAAGTAATCACAGGGACTGTACCCCTTACCAGAATATTTACGGAGCGCCTCCTGTGGGCTGAGGGAACTCTTAGGACCCTGTCTTTGCGAGGGGCTCAGGGTCTGAACCGGGCCACCTGGGCTGAGGACACATATCCGCATCATAAAGAGCCGTGCTGTCCAATGCTGTAGTCACTGGCCACGTGTGACGTGTGACTGTTTAAATTTAAATTAGTGAAGATGAAATACAGTTTACAATCCAGTTCCTGAGTCACACCAGCCACGTTTCAAGAACCCAGTAGCCGCCCGCGGATAGTGGCTACCACACTGGACAGACTGATAGAACCGCTTCCACGACCGCAGAAGGTTCTGTTGGGCAGTGCTGGTCGAGCTGGGATTGGCTGGGGCCAGACAGACTGGGTTCAGGTCTATTTCCTCACTTTGTGACCTCTTACAAGGTATTTCCTCATCTATAAAATGGGTATCAATGGTATCTACTTTGTCAAGCTGCTTTGAAGATTGAATGAGGGCACGTAAAGCACATGTCTCTTCTAGGGGCTAGCAGGTTATATTACCTCTTAATAAGCGTATGTGTCGTTTCTTGAACAGTGAAAGGTAGCATGTGCCGTGTGTTCAGAAGGTCAAAGAGGAACAGCTGACTTGCAGCCTGAATATGTTGGGGAAGGCTTGGGTACAGTTGGACACAGGAGATCAAGCTGGGGGAGAGAGGAGGACACTCAAGGCAGAGGAATTTCATATACTGCTGAGAAGAGGGCGGAAAGGGGAGTCTTCTGTCTAATGCCTGACTTAGCCTCTGCCTCGCGCTACAACTCGGACCAGCAATCCCAAAGAAAGACCCAAGGGGGAGCCATGGGTGATCTGTATTTGATGTGGGACTCAGGGGAACTAGTTCTAAGCCAGAGAGACAGTCCATATCAACTTTCCTGATTTCCCAGATTCACGCTGAACTTTTCCATTCTGTCCAACTCGCAGGACCCTGGACTTGCTGATGGCTCGAGCACATTTGCCAACCTCTGCAGGTTTTCTGCTGACTCTCCTCTTTATGTCTCTCTCACAAGAGCAAGGGCCTCCCATGCATAGACAAAATACCTATGTGGAAAGGAATGACGATGCTGGGAGGAGAATGTCGTGCCTGGCACCAAGCCACAGAGCACGTCAGCTCAGCCTCCTGGCACCGGGCGGGCCCCTGGACTCTCACCTTGGCTCAGAGACAGGAGCAGCCCATGTGGGAAGAAGCCTTGGTGTGTGGCCAGTTCCTTCGAGGTCACAATGCACTTTCATCTCTGCTCTCATTTGGGCTTTGACAGAATTTGATGAGGAAGACTAGACAGGGTTAGCATTTGCATTTGACTGATGGGGAAATAGAGGGCCTTGGAGAGTGAAATGACTCGGCCACGGTCCCAGGTCAGGAAAGTCATTTGGCTAAATCACAAATGCAAGCCTTTTGAGATTAATGCAGTGTGTGCGCTACTGAGCTAGACCCCAGGAGTTAACTGGTGTGCCCGGCAGAGTGGGTGGGGGGAGGCCTAGGGGCCAGGAATACTGGAAGTCATTCACTTACTTGTACATTTATTCATTCATTCGTTCAGGCAACAAATGTTTATTCAGCACCTACCAAGTACCAGGAAGGTGGGCACCCTTATCCCTGCTTTGCTGAAGGAAATCCGGGATTCAGAACACGGAAGGGATTTACCCCTTAGCTGAGGTCACTCAGCTAATAAACAGAGAGCTTGGATTTGAATCTTGGTCTGTTGACTCCAAAGCTCCCACTGAAGGGTGGGGGTGGTATTTTTAAGTCCAAGGAACAGTAAGAGGCAGAGTCAAAGGACAGGGCTGACGGGCAGGGTGGCTTTCCTGAAGCCTTGGGAGAAAACGGCTGACTATGATTGAGTCAGGACCAAGGGCAGCTGGCCTTTGTGGCGGGCACTCTGTGCGTGGATGCAGGGGCCACGGGACCCGAGGTCCCAGATAGCTCACAATCAGCAGACACAGCTGGCAGGCACCAGCGGCCTCCTCGTTTCTAAGTCACGGGGCCCCACGCCTAGAATGTCCGTGAGCAGCCACGTGCCAGCGCTGTGACCACCACGCCAGGGCCTGTTTGTTTGCTGGCTGGAAAGTCATGTGTCCTGGGTGAGCCCCACCGGGAATGTGTCATCTCCTGATGGAGCTGGGGCGACAACGTTCTGGCTGAATCAGCTCTCCCGAGTGCAGAGAGAAACCTGTGGAAGTTTGTGGAGAAATACTTGCTTTGTGACTCAAAAAAAAAAAAGAGAGAGGGAAGGAGGGAGGAAGAAAGGCAGGGAAGAAGGGAGGGAGGGAGGGAGGAAGGAAGGAAGACACCTGTAATAGAAAATTAGATTGACATTGTCTAGGTGATTTTTTTTTTTTTTTTTTTTTTGCGGTACGCGGGCGTCTCACTGTTGTGGCCTCTCCCGTTGCGGAGCACAGGCTC